TTGTTCATTGTCACACCTTTGCAATAACCCTGAAAGGATCAGCCTTGGCATGGTTTAACCGGCTCCCCCCGGCCTTGATCTCCTCGTTTAAAGAGCTCTCGATTTTCTTTGTGTCTCATTTCATTGGAGCTCAGACATACAGGAAGTCGAGCTACCATTTGTTGAATGTGAAGCAGGGACCTCAAGAAAATCTAAGGTCTTATGTTCAAAGATGTAACTCAAAATCCCTAAAGGTAGATGTTCCAAACAAAAAGTTTGCAATTACTGCTTTCGTTGCAGAATTGGGAGTACAGTCGAAAGACTTGATGTTCTCCATATCCAAAAATCCTCAAGCAAGCATGGCCGAGATGTTGGCTAAAGCAAAGAAGTATATAAACAACGTGGAAGCTCTCCTCTCAAAGGTAGGGAGCTCGTCCTCACAGAAAGGAAAAGAGAAAGAGGAAAAGAAAAGAAATCGAAGTCCCAGGAAAAAAAGAGAAAGAAACAGGTCTCCAAGAAGAGACAGATCTACTAGGAGAGATAGAGAACGTTCCCCAAAGAGGAGAGAAAATGTCAGGGATCGTTTAGGTCCCCCACAGCCTGAGTTGCAGTCAAGGTATGCACCTCAGTAGTATACTCCACTCACTGCCATGGTATCTCATATTCTGTATAAGGTGCAGAATGAAAAGTTCCTAAGATGGCCCCCTCGAATGAAGGTAGATCCAACAAAGAAGGATCCTACAAAGTACTGCGAATACCACAGAGACCATGACCACCATAGTGATGACTACATTCATTTGAAGAAGGAGATTGAGTTCTTGATCCAAAGGGGGCAGTTGCGTCGTTTTATTGCCCATGATAATCAGAACAGAGCTCCACCACTTCCAGTACTTCAGCAGCAAGCCACTGTGCAGCATCAGCAACCCCTTGGGGAAATCAGCATAATATCAGGAGGAGTGGAATCCAACTCAGCTAGGAAAACTCACTTGCATAGAATCAGAGCTGATGAAACGCTGCAAGTACATACTGTATCCAAGACTCCACATTTGGACATACCCATCAATTTCTCAGACTTAAATCTGGAAGGCTGCCAGGATCCCCATGACGATCCCTTAGTTATAAGAGCGGTTGTTGTCAATAGAACGGTTCGTCGAGTACTAATTGACAACGGGAGCTCTACAAACATATCTTTGTGCCAGCGTTTGATAAGATGGAGATAGGCAAAGACAAGCTCGAGCGAGTAACTACCCACATGTTGGGATTCTCAAGAGAACGGGTACTACTATTGGGGTTAATACATCTCATGCTCATAACTGGGGACCCTCCCTGTCAGACCTCCACTTCTATAAAATTTTTGGTAGTTGATGCTCCTTCGGCGTATAACATGTTGCATAGGAGACCTTCCCTCAATGCAATGAGGTCTATACCTTTAGCTTACCACTTGGTTATGAAGTTTTCTATGGAAAATGGGGTTGGTATGGTCCGAGGAGACCAACATGTGGCACGGGAGTGCTACATGGCATCTGTCAAAAGAAAGGAGGTCAAAAATATTCAACTAGACGAGCTCGACATGAGAGACAAGTTGGACGCTAGATCGACACCATCGGAAGAGCTGGAACCAGTCCAACTTGATGAAGAACAAGAGCATGTTATCTACATAGGATCTAAGCTGAGACCATCGGAAGAGCTGGAACCAGTCCAGCTTGATGAAGAACAAGAGCATCTTGTCTACATAGGATCTAAGCTGAGCAAAGAAACTAAAGACCTTCTCATCCAATTTTTAAAGGAGAATATAGGAGTGTTTTCCTGGAAGCAAGAAGATATCACACCAAAAAAAAATCGAATACAAAACGTACAAATAATGTCATTCAATGTTTAAAGACAAACTAAAACATCACTACTAACTTAGACTAACACAATTAATCAACACAGAAAATTGGATTTAATAAACATAAAACCATTGACATTCATGTAGTGTTTAAATACATGTTAAAACATCACCATCGCTCTTGGTATTCACAACCAAAAAAAAAAGGACATATGGCTTCTTACTACTACCATTGCCCTCAATATTCAACAACAAAAGAAACATGCAATTTACAACCAAAGTTGTAAACAAAAAATAATAAGCACCCATTGTGCAAAATTCACAACTCGTATACTTCAACCAGGTAGGATTCACCTAAACCAACTGCTTTACCATGTGTTTTATCACCAACATGCCCATTGATATCTGTCAAGGTATACAACTGTCTTTAAAAGAAACATGACCATTGGTAAGCTTATAACATGAGCTGAGCTTTATAGTGACCAGATTACAGAGTAACCAAGACAAATCACTCATGTACTAATCAGTGAGGAAATTTACTTTTACAAGAGCTAAGTACTCAAGAGACTAGTATGTGCACAAAATCGATGAGATTCCAGAGAAAGTGAAATTGGTGCAACAAGAAAGCGAGAGCCTTTTCAATCAGTCACAAGTCGTTGCAATTGAATACAAAAACACATCTGAAATAACCATATCATAGAAATCAAGAGTCCTTAGATACCTTAGAATGGATAGTGCCTCAATGTTTGCTCTCTGTCCAAATGATGCAATTGAAGACCGAAAGATACTTGGTGACATTAGTTGAGAAATAAATTCTACATGAACATATATATATCAAGTTTGCTCTACGAAATTGGGCCTCAAGGGATACCACAATTTTATGAGCGGAGCGAGCGTCTATATGTTTTTGGTTCTACCACACACGTGCGCATATGTCGTCCACCTTGCTTAACCTCGACCCGGTCGAGCCGGGCTCGGGTGTAATGTGTGTTTTAGACCAAATCCTATATTTTTTAAGAAAATTTGTTTAATTAATTGGGCGTGAATTTCTTAATTTAAAATTTAATTTTCGGTATCTATTAAATTGTACTGATTCGGATTTTTTGCTTCCCTACAGTCCGAAATTTGAGTTATGTCTGTTCATACAGAACAATTACACAAGTAGTGTCTTTTGGCTGCGTGTGACTATTGAGTTGCATCCGTTCATATGGTGACTGTCCAGATTAGTCACCATTCTCTCTATAAATAATTTAGTCACATAATCATTTTGCATCATATATACATTTGTAGTCATTCAAGGCATTCTCATACATCATTAAATTAATTTGCATTTTGGAGATCTTGTATGAATGAAGTATGAAATAAAAATTGTGTTAAACTACAAATTAACTTAGTATTAAATGATTTAACATGTGATAGAATTAAATAAGGTGATGTTTTTTTGGGGAAAAATATATGAGGGATAAAAATTCAACTTGTTAGCTAATTTATTATATAGATATGTATTGCATATAATAAATGCAAACATAAAAATATATATATCAATTGGATCGAATTTATATACATTCACATTGATATTTAATTTAAGATGAATTCGAATCGAATCTAAACAAAAATTCGGTTAATTGGCGGGCGTACTTGCAAATGGCAGAATGGCTGTGTCAAATGGTTTAAAACCGAAAAAAAATCCGATAACATTGAAAGCTTGTGTCCACTTGCCTTTTTCTCTACGGCAACCTTATTTCCCTTGGAACTTCTGAATGTAGACCCATTACACTTTAAATGCACAGTACACTTTAACCGCATAGTACGTAATTTACTATTAAATAAAAAATAAAATTGACTGAAAAAATAATAAAAATTATCTCAAAGTATAATAGGGAGTAATGATATTAATATTGGATTCTCATTTTAAAGAACCGTCAAAAGATTTATATACATATATTGAAGACCCCATAAGAAATTGAAAACTTGAGAATCAGTTGTGGCCTAATAACTCAATAACCCGCCATTGGACTTTTATGACGCGAGTTTGAACCTCATAATCCCCTCCTCATGTACTATTCAAAAGAACATGAAAAAAATAAGATGTTGAAGGATATGGTATTATTTTTTATTTTTGATTGAAAAGGACATGACATATTAGTATATTAATCTACGTAATCAAATACCTCATTTTGTAAGTAGAAACGTTATTTCCGCGGTTCGAATTTATGATGCTTAAGTGATCACAATAAAAAATAACCTTATTATTGTAAACTCTGACAATAATTCCAAGGTAATATAGAAGTCCAAACAAACTAGTTTTTACCGGAGGATAGGCACAAAATGCCACCGGCGAATAGAGCGGGGGCTATGAAAAAGACAAGTTGGGCTCTCATTCATATTTCATAAGAATTAGAGGATGCTTCAAATTTTATTTTAATGGTCAGAATATATGCGCATAAGCAAATTTAGTTATTTGAAAAACTATCCTAAAATTTCAACAATTAAAAGAAACCAAAGCTACAGTGATTACAAATTTTTACCGTTTAAAATAAAATTGAAAGATCCTTCAATTTTTACCTATTAGGAGAGCCTAACCCAAATGACTTGGAAGGTCATGATTGACTTTATAATATATTTTGTATACATCGGTAGATTATTATTACAATAAACTATTAATTATTCCAACTCAGCACAGTGTCTCTATATCAGAATACCTGTTGAGCATTGAGCACTAAAGAGAAGCACCGAAAGAGAGACACAATAGAAACTCGTGTGGAGGACATCAGAAGCCAATACTTGTCTTTGGCAAGGATTAAATCCTTGACCGAGTGGCTGATAAATTCTTGAGAGAATCAAGTGTTGCCAATTAGTCTAGATTGTTCAAGTATAAAATTAAAAATATAACATTCATTTAATCATCTAATTACGTTTACAATTACCATAGATAAATAAATGCCACTATTGTTGAGTATGAAGTCCTCTTTCCCTCATAATTTCCACAAGGAATTTATAAAGTCAAGCATCCAGCATCCAGAATCCAGAACTTTTCAACTTTGGCGAACTTAGTGTTCTGTTAAATTACCTGATCATGACAGCTCTCCAGAAAAAAACTCACCAACATCGAGCTTTCTGTTACCAATAAACAGTTTGTGCCAATGAAGCTTGCTTCTTATTTGCTTATGTTCATGCTCATGCATGCACTCAGGCCCTCTTTTGCTGTAGCAAGGCTACAAGCAGTTTCAACGTTGGGTCTATCTACAGTTCCTTCCAACTATGTATCTTATAGTTTGAAGGCAGTACAGGATAGGGAAACTGGGGACCAACAAACACCACCTCCCCCACTAGCCAATCGTCGGATCCATCCCAGAGATCCTCCGCCTGAGCCACCACCACCGCCAATCTCTATGTCGCCACCACTCCCACCACTATCTCCGCTGCCACCACCACCTCCATCAGCTTAAAGTCACCTTTGCGTGTGCAACATACTTGATGCTTGAAATCTCGTTCGTTTGTTTGTACTGCCACCAACCACTTTATAGTAGTTGAGTCTTGTATTAGATTAATTGTTTTTCCGCTTTGTATGATTGCAATTCTTTATCATGTTTTGGTTCTCTTTTTCTATACTTGTATCTATATGGAGTATACAATTAATTTGTATGCATGTATCGCTTAATAAAATCTTTCTTATTTACCCAAAAAAAAAAATTTGAGTTTATATTGTATGAGATCATTCTCTCTCTCTCTCTCTCACGAGAAAATATTCATTACAGCGATGATATCACGTGGCAAAGTGATGTGGTATTACCTGTTATTAGTGGTATTCCAAATATTATAAAATCACTTATTGAAATTTCTAATTTGAACTATGTAAGTATAACAAAACAGTAACAGTCAAGTGCGAAATAATTACACAAAAACAGTCTTACATGAAAGAGTTACACAAAACTAATATAAATACTAACTTGTTTGCAGAACAGAATTTGAAGTAGATCAAGACTAGTGTTTGATACTATGTCCTTAAGACAGATTGTCCAATTAATTAAACAAATTTTCTCTAAAAAGATAGGGTTTAATCTAACTCACACCTAAGCCTAGACGCGAACGGCATGCGCGCATGTTTGGTAGAACCAAAGGCATGTAGGTGCTCGCTTCGCTCATAAAACAGTAGTACCCCTTGGGTTCCAATCTCATAGAACAAACTTGACCTGTATATGCCTATGTTGAATTTCTTCCTCAATCAATGTAGAATTGGTGTCAAATCCCACATTGCACAACTTTTATTTCTACATTTCAAGAGGGTCACTTTAGAGCTTATTTTCTCATTCATTTTTTACTCGATTTGAGCAAGTGATTATATTATATTATTCTCCTCACGGAGTAGAATATGAACCCATAAAATTTCACTCGAAAACAACGATCAGGTTCTACTTTAATTTAGGCTTAAAGTCAACCAAAAATTCAGTTTTTACATTTAAAAAATTGTTTTGATCTAACAATCCCTCACATGAATGAAAAATTGGATGTTAGTATACAAATGATAATACTGACACACTACATAGAGTACATCTTTAAAATGATTGTGCATTGAGATAGGTAGTTTTTGACCTTGAACCTTCCCTAGTGAAAACCTATCGGATTTATCGACTAAATAGTAAACGTGATGTCTTGAACTATTCAGCTGTTTGATAAATCAGATCGAATAGACTTCACACACTCTCTTTCCTAATACAATTAGTTCTCATGATTGTGTTCGTTTTGACCCTGAACAATTCCTGGTTTTCATGAGTGCTTTAGATAATTCAGTCTTTATAAATTCTCACAGAAGCGGCCCCTTCACACCTATATAGGTGACTCCTATTAAGAATATCCTGCAATATCCCACTTGAATTTTTCAAGGTATAAGAGTCATTAAAAACATAGCTTACCATAATAAACTCTACAGGCAACACTAGTTTATTATAGAAATAGGTAGGAGAGATTACCTCTTTAGTGCTTTTTTTTAATCACGCATAATTCGGTTGTCCCTTTGAACCTAGATCTTGGGATCTCCAGTCAACTAGGTTGGGTTGTCATTAAGATGACTCTTGTGTCATAGGTTGTAGCCTCATTCCCCTCGATGTGCAATTTACTTGCTCACTTGTCAAACCTTTAGTAAGCGGATCTGCTAAATTATCCTTTGATTATATCTAATCAATAGAAATAATCTCATTTGAGAGCAATTGCCCAAGGGTATTATGTATACGACGTATATCTCTAGACTTACCATTATACATGTCACTATGTGCCCTACCAATTGCAGATTGGCTACCGCAATGTATACAAATTGCTGACACATGTTTAGAACATATTGGAATATCGTATAGAAATTGGCAAAGCTACTCAGCTTCCTCTCTTGCTTTATCTAAAGTAATAAATTCAAATTCTAAAGGATTCTCAAGATACAGCTGCACCACCAAGTGTAAAAATATAATCACTTGCGGATTTTGTATCATCCATATCAGATATTCAGATTATATCACTATGCCCTTCAAGTACAGTTGGATATTTTGTATAGTGCAATTCAAAATTCAGGATATATCTTAAATATCTAAAAACCCTAATAATTGATTTTCAATGATTTACTCATAGATTACTCGTATATCTACTCAATTTACTAACTAAGTATGTTATAGCCTATCTAGTGCAATCCATGACATACATTAGACTGCCTATAATACGAGAGTATTTCAATTGTGATATGCTTTGGCAAGTATTTTTAGACAAATGAAGATTTATGTCAACTGGTGTTCTAGCAATGTTGCTTTCATCTTTGTCGAACTTCTCAAGTATTTTCTCAATATAATGTGATTGAGATAATATAAGTCTACCAGATGTTCTAAAAATTTTAATTCCTAATATAACATCTACAATACCTAAATCCTTCATGTCAAACTTACTGGACAACATTTTTTTAGTAGTTATAATAATATCATTATTACTACCTAAAATAAGCATATCATCCACATATAGACAAACAATGACATATCCATTATTTGTGTCTTTGACATAGACATATTTATCATATTCATTAATTGTGAAATCATTTGACATCATTACCTTGTCAAACTTCTCATGCTATTGTTTTGTTGTTTGCTTTAAACCATAAAGTTATTTAACAAGTCCACATCTTTTTCTCTTATCTAAGAGAAATAAACCCTTCGGGTTGGTCCATATAAATTTTTCTCATTTAAATCATCATTTAGAAAAGCTATTTTCATATTCATTTGGTGCATCTCAAGATTATGCAATGCTGCAATAGTTATGAGCATACAAATAGATGTTATTCTTGTGAAAAGAGAATATGTATCAAAGTAATCAAGACCTTCCTTTTGTTTATAACATTTAGCTACAAGTCTAGCCTTGTACTTATCAATTGATCAATTAGTTTTCATTTTCCTCTTGAAAATCAATTTACACCCCTAGAGGAAGATCTACCAACTCCTAGGTGTGATTTTGCATGATGGATTCAATTTCACTATTTACAGCTTCTTTCCACATAGGTGCTTCAGGAGTGGACATCGCTTCATTAAAATTTTGAGGTTCATTTTCTAGCAAATATGTTAGAAAATATGAACCATAGGACTTGGAAATCTTTGCCCTCTTACTGCGTCTAAGTGCCTCTTCATTTTCTTCATCTATAGACTCATGGTCTATATTACTAGTCGCAGTATCATGAGTTCTTTTAAAAGAACTCTCATCGTATGCATTTTTACTAGGAAAGACATTTTCAAATAATGATGCATTTCTTGACTCAATGATTATATTGATATGTATATCAAGAATATTAGATTTATGCACAAGAAAACGATATGCACTGCTATTTATTGCATAACCAATAAATATACAATCAATAGTCTTAGGACCTATTTTAATCCTTTTGGTAATAGGAACCATCACCTTAACGAAACACCCCCACACTTTTAAATATTTGTAGGAAGAACTCTAACCTTTCCATAATTCATAATGGGTTTTGTCTAACTTCTTCTGGGGTAGTCTATTTGAATTATAATTTGCTAAAAGCAAAGCTTCCCCCTACAAGTTTTGAGGTAATTCCGAACTAATCAACATAATATTCATCATCTCTTTCAATGTTCTATTTTTATGTTCAGCAACTCCATTTTGCTGAGCTGTATAAGGAGCACAAGTTTGGTGAATAATATCATGTTCTTGACATAACCTATAGAAAGGTGTATCATATTCACCACCAATATCACTTCTTATTTCCTTAATCTTTTTACCAAGTTGAATTTCAACCTCCTTCTTATAATGCATAAATTTTTTGAATGTTTCATCTTTACTCATTAGCAAATATACATAGCAATATCTTATGCAATCATCAATAAATGTAACAAAATATTTCTGTCCACCTCTAGTTTGAACATATTTCAAATCGCATGTATCACTATGAATTAACTCTAGAGGTTCAGTACTCTTTTCAATATTATGAAATGATTCTCTAGTTAATTATGATTCAACACATGCCTCATATTTATTATTTTCATCAATATTGAATTTAGGCAATAAATCTAAATTCATTAATTTACGCATAATATTAAAATTAACATGTCCTAATCTACCATGTCATATATTGAAAGACTCAAGCATATAACCAGAAGATATTTTTTTTTATTAAAATCAGATACAATGATCATTACATTCATCTTAAAAAGCTCATTGCTTATATATCTCTTACCCACATAAATCCTACTCTTGGTGAGTACAAATTTTTCAGACTCAAAAACTAACCTAAAACCCTTCTTACTCAACAACGATTCAGACACAAGATTCTTTTGAATTTCTGGAACATATAACACATCATTGAGAGTATGTTATTTTTCGAAAGTCATCTTTAAATATAACCTTTCATTTGCCTTTAACTTTGGAAATGGAGGAATTTTCCACGAAGAGTTGTTCTCCATCATTAATTACTTCATATGAATAGAACATCTTCTTATCCGAATATATGTGTCTAGTGGTCCCGGTGTCCACCCACCATTCCTTAGTATTTTCCACCAAGTTCACTTCGGATATTACAAAAGAAAAACTCATGTTAAAAATATTTTCAGAAATTTTTTCTACCTCGGTTATATTATTTTGGGCAGCCTTCCTCTTGTGGTTCCCTTGTGCTTTATGGCTTCGACAATCCTTTGCACGATACCCCGATTTATTGCACACAAAGCAGTTGCCTTTGAACCTTTTAGAATCACTACCCTTGCCCCCTTGTTGGTCAACATACTTTCTTTTCTTGTTGGTTTTATGTCCCTCTTCAATCACATGTGTCTTTGACTACATGGAATGATTACCAACTTTCTTTTTGGAGATTCTATTGTCCTCCTCAATCCTCAATCTCACGATCAAGTCTTCAATTGTGTTTGTGCTTCAAATAATTTTTGAAGTCCTTCCAATTTGGCGATAATTTCTC